CAATTTCAACGGAATCTCCAGTCGCAGTCTCCGCATATGACTTAGGGCGTCCTTCCAACCAACTGAGGATCTTCACGTGGTTGCTCTCAAGCGTCTCTCTCGTGATGATGTGGAACGAACTACCAGAGTCAATCAACCAGTAAACGCGATCATCTGAAGGAAAACTAACCACCTGGTTCGTGAGCATCATACCGAAGTGATATCCTTCCAGAAACGTCTTGATTGATGACTGTGCTTTTCCACTACCTTTGGTTGTGGGCTGCGCTGCTGCTTTCGCCGATGTAGACGATGAAGATGATGGTGCCTCTGGCTGCGTCGTAACGGCCTGGCTCGTCGCCGCTGCGGCTTTGTCCTTCGGAGGTGCCCAGCAGTCGCGTGCCCAGTGTCCAGTCTTCCCGCAGTTTCGGCAGACATCTGTCTTCTTCGCTTCTCTGCTCTTGCTCCGAGCTCTGTCTCCTTTTCCGCCTTGGTCACCTTTCTTATCCTTTCCTTTCGCTTTGCCACCCTTCAGTCCCTTTTCTCCTTTCTCGCTTTTGTTGCCCTTGTTGCCCTTGGAGCCTTTGTTGCTCTTGTCTCTGTCGCCCTTTCCGCCCTTGCCACCCTTGAAGGCATTCGCATACCCGGATGCTCCTTCTCTCTGGAAGTCCATCACACGAAGTTGCTCGTCGTAGAACTGCAAACCAGTCATCAGCTCACCCATGCTCTTTGTTGAGTGATGGAGGAGCAGATATCTCTTGGTCTCAGAATCCAAGTGCTTCATCAGGCACAGGACTCCCTCTTGTTCTCCGATGAGCAACTCCGGGAAGCGATGCTTCACCTGCGCCTCGAACTTGAGAAGCTCGGTGGTGTACCACCTGGCGACATCAAGTGGTCGCTTGAGATGCTTTGGTGGCACCAGGCCTAACGCCTGTTCGCGGAGGGCCTGTCCCTCCACTCTGGAGCGAACTGATAATTCGTTGTTCAACGAGCGCCAGAGTTCGTATCCGGCACTTGCTCCCATTTGTTTCACCTCGATGAGATGCACCAAATCTTGCCCACGTTGGAACTTGCTCATGGACTGACGAAGCAAAAACCAAAGTTTGGTTGACCGGGCTGCTTTCCCGGCTTCAAGCCTCACTTGCAAGACTTCCACATTGCTACTGATCGCTTCTTGCAATTCCGTAGCGTAGCGGTCGTCGAGCAAACAAAGCCAACTCGTAAGTTCGTCTCTGTAGGCTGTCCAAACTCGGATTTCAGCATGTCTGCTCGTCATGGACGCATAGTTCAGCTGAGGCAACTGTGGAATGTAGCCCTCTGCTCTCTTGTTTCGTACACCAGAGTCTACTTCCATGTCCACAGGAGTCGATGCATTCGCAGGTGCTGCTGAGGGGTCTCCTCCAGGTGTAGGACTCGTCGACGATGAAGCTGCAGCTGCTGCAATATGCGCATTGGCAGCATTCGCACTTGCAAGCTGCAATGCTTGCGTAAGCATGGCACTCATCTGTTGAAGTTGAGCTGCCTGCTGTCGGATCTGCTCGTCCTGCGCTTGCAGCATTGCTCTCGTGAACTCCATCTGTTGAGCTACTCCAGGTGCAACGGGCAACTGCATATTCGGAACTTGAAGGGGTTCTTGTGGTGCTGTCTGAGGGGGTGTTCCCATCTGGTAGAACTGAGGTCCAAACGAGGGCACAGCCCCGACTGGTGGCTGATGGCCTGCTCCAGTCTAGCTGTCCACTGCCTTGGGTCTACTCCGCGTGGAACTGAAGCTGGTCGCGCTGGCAAAGACCTTCCACGTTCTCTTCTCCCACGGGCACTTGGTGACCTTGCACCAGAAAGCCCTGTGGAACTCAGGCTGCTTGCACTGCGGCCTCTCGGAGAACGGTCTCGTCCAGGCAGCTCCGCTACCACGTTGAAACTCGTGGCACAGCTACGAGGCCGAAGGGACCTCAGGTCAAGACTGCACTCAACCCTCACAGCACGAAGTGCGGACTCTTTTCACTGCGCTGTTCACAGCTTCTCGAGCTCCGCTCGTCTTGAGCCAATGCGAGCACGGCTCTCCAGCTTCAAACACTGTCTGCCAGACATGGGAAAACAAAGGTACTTCAGGTGAAAACACTCAGCCATGGAACTTCTACTCCTAAACACTGTGGGTAGGTTCCTAGCACCTCTTCGGTGCTCTGCTGAGCTCTGCGCAGACCTAAACTGGCTTTGAGTCACTTCTGGTCACCAAATACCAGGTCACAAACAGGAAACGAGTTCCAACCGAGTTTCGAGAAAACGAACAGAAAACGGTTCTTCCCAACTGTTGGTTTGCTTTGCGGTACGCCGGGCCGTTTTTTCCTGTTAAGAGCCTAAGGTTGCAGTTACAAACTGCAAGTTAATGTGACCTGCTTGGACTATTACTTACTGTAACTTACAGTGCGTCCAAAAAAAGAAAAACCCGCACTGGCTGTTGTTACTATCTCTCTGAGTAAGAAACACAGTGCGGCCACCATTGGCAATGCTTTCTGACCATGCGGTAAGTGCAACAGAAAGGAATTCTGCGTCTCTGATAAGTTGCTTTGCAATTCTAGCAACACTAACAACAGTCTGATGCTCCGTTCCGCAAAAAGGTTGCACCGGACCCGGAGTAATTATCGTTCTTCGGGCAGAGACTTCTCAGCTTCGGGGAAGAGAAACCAAGCAGCAGCAGCCACCATGAGGGCAACGGCTACGGGCCCACCAATGGGCACCACGGTCCTGGTCGCAAGGTGTATCATGTTGAAGGCCAAGAGCCGGCTGGTGATTTCTAACACTCGGGCAAACAAGGCCGCAAAAGTTGGGCTCCAGTCCAACTTTCCAGGCACGTTCAGCACTCTTGAGTCGGTCTTATCTCTGGTTGCGAACCCAAATGCCAAGCTCGTACAGGAAACGATCAGTGAAAAGGTCAGACTTTGAAATGCATCTCCTGAAACCGACTGGATGCCCACGAGCACTGCAGTTGCTCTGCAACCTGCCGACACAACAGCTTCAGCCACCTCGGCATGCTTCGCACCCAACAGCAAGTCATGCTTGATCCGCATCGATGCTGATGCAGCAACCAAGAGCAGCATATGGCACTGCGTCAGCACCAAGACTACAATCAGCAAAACCCGAAGGGCACTGAAAGGGATGATTCGCTTGACCCAATCAGCTTGGGGTCGGGCAACTGCTCCTTCACTCCACTTGAGTGCATCCATTGCTGTAGTGACCATAGGAATTGCAATACCAAAAATATTCAAGGCAAAGTACTCGTAGTTTCCTTCGGAAAAGAACAAGAATAGCTGTTGCACATCCGTGCCCACTCGAGATAGTACAGCCCACCAGTGAGAATCAAAGGTCTACCCAGAACATCAGATCTCGTCCTGTGGCGCATTCAACGCTGCTTGGCGCTGTCGGCCGCTGAAGACATTGAATGCCCTGACCTCTGCTGCAAATGTTCTGCATTGCATGGTAACCTCGTGGCCAGGGAAATCGCATTCCCTTGGAAACAATTCCCGTGGCAATCGTCTCCCTCCTTCTTCAACAGCACTTGCAATTGAAGTACACCGTGCTTCCTGTTGCCCGACACTGCACCTCGTTCCATTTGAAGCCGACAACCCTTTCTTTGTCTTCGAGTTTCAGTGCAGGCTGGAGTCCTTGCAGCATTAAAGTGCTCCTGTGCTGGCAGCTGTGAAGGCCACCCGGGCCAGATGATGCTGGGGAGGCGCTCTTGCATCCCCTTGAGGTTCTCCCTTATGATGCACGCGTTGCTGCAGCTGATAGCTGTGATCCTTCAAGGTCTGGTTCGCATAAATGAAAGCTTGCTGCCAGAGGCCAGGGCAGTGCCATGGGCCATCATAGTGATATCTCTAGCCACCAGCGTCGGGAGCAGCTTGGGGCTGTGTTGGCTTTCGCATATTGGTGACAGCATCAAGCACCCCGTCTTGGAAGAGGCAGGAAAGGGTGAAACCCTGACGTGCACAAAGCTGGCGGCTGCTCTCGACCTTTCCCAGCTCCCGCTTCCGGTGCTTGCCGCGGCGGACGAGCTAGCGCTGGATCTTGAGGCCCTCGAAGACGACCGGATTCTCTTAAGGTTGGCGACAGCAAAGACTCCGGTCGTTGTGCCTTCTTTTTGCATGAAGAAGGTCGTTTCGAAGTGCGATCAGCCTTTTGAGCAGCTGCAGCACATCAATGTGATTCATGCCGATTTTGTCGAATGCAATGAAGCTTTGAGGTCATTACAACACCCTTGGGATCGCTTAGCGTGGATGAACCTCAAAGTGATTCGCTTGAAAGAGCGGGAAGTCCCCGCCGCATTGATGGCCATGTTGGCTCGTTGCACGCCATCTTCGCAGAATGCCAGGAGACTGATGATGCTGCTTGGGAGCATCTCAAGGATTCCCAGTGGCTCAAGCTGAGAATCGCTGATTTTGCGGAGTGTTTCACGAATAACCGCAGCAAAGGAGCACTTGTACTTCAGACCTTGTGGAAATCCGCCAAGCTCGAAGTGTTGGACTGGAGCAGAAACGGGTTCCGGTTGCCTAGGCACAGGCGGACTTGTTGGCTTCGAATGGTGAGTGCGACAAGCCGGCGTCATCGCCTTGGAATTGGTGCAACCTCAAAATCTTCCGCTTCTGTAGCCATTCTTTCGAAGACGAGAAAATTCCAGCTGCAGTGCTGAGCATGTTAGCTCGTTGCAAGCAGCTGGAAGAGATCAACATCTATTGTTGTGACAGGACTGATTGGGAATACCTTAGGGACGCGCAGTGGCCGAAGCTAAAAGTGGCCAAGTTTATTAGGTGCTTCGTTGAGGACCCGAAAGCCAGCGCCATGGTTCGAAATCTTGGCCAAGAGTGCTGAATTCCACGACGGAGGATTGGGATGAGCTGTTTGCCCAGGGCTGCTGGCCGAAGCTGCAGTGGGAGAAGTGTGATTTTGGCGCACAGCGCCCGAGCAACGGATTTCGACCGCGGGCAGCGGAGTCGGCGGAGATTTTGCCCAGACATCTTACTCACGTCGATATGTGGAATGAGGCGGGTCAACTCGATGCTTCTCTGCTGCCATGGCTGGCCAAGTGCCGAGATGTCGAATTCTTCAATGCGAGTGATGGCAGGAACAAGCTGCCAGCTTGGGCCTGGCATTCTTTGGAAAGGGCCACTTGGCCGAACCTGAGGGTGGCGAAGTTCCGGGAATGCTTCGATAAGTACAGCAAGGAAGTGGACGGAGCCCCTGCCGTGCTGCAGCTGCTGGCACGCAGCCGGCACCTGGAAGTCATCGATCTCGAGGAGTGTGGCCACATCGCAGCGGAGGCTTGGGAGGTGCTGCGGGAGGCACAGTGGATGGAGCTGAAGGAAGCTGATTGGTGGGACTGCTTCAGCACAGGTAAACCAGCATGCGAGAAGGCTGGTGTGGTAATGCAACTCATGTCACGCTGCGAGAGCTTGGAGAAGATTAGTTTGAGGTCGTGCAATGGCATATCAGATGAGGATTTCAAGTTGCTGGGCGCAGCCTCATGGCCCGAGTTGAGGGAGGCCAATTTTGATGACTGTTTCGAAGCTTTGACTCGGCAGACGGTGCTGCAAGCGCTGAGCCGCTGCCGAAAGCTGGAGAGCTTGGACTTCACATGCAGACCCACTGCGGAAGATCTGCTGGAGCTGCCCAGCGGCTGTTGGCCCAATCTGAAACTTGAAAAGTGCAGGGGCTTCCAGTGCGAAACATGGGATGAAGATGGTCTTGTGACAGTGAATGAAGAGGAAACGCTTGCCCTACGCAGGCAGCTGCAGCGCCTCCGAGAAGCAGATCTGAAGGAAGCGGCCGACAGCAGTGGGTTGTCCATCCACATCGAAGAGCCCACAGCGGACGTGCCTGATGTTGCAGCACCAGGCACAGATGAAGAATCGCCGCAAGTGCCCGGTGGTGCTTTGCCCGATCTCAACTCTGACGATTTCGATGGTTCCGAGGAGCAGTTGGATCTCACCTTGCAGGAGTCAGAGCAGAACCAGGCCAACAGGTTGTCCATCCAACCTGAAGAACCCTTTGGGCAGGTGGAGAATGCAAGGGCCAAGAAGGCCAAAGCCAGCAAATTTCGTGGAAAGGCGAAGAGAGCTAACATTAAAGTCAAAGCTAAGACGAAGGCCAGAAAGGCGGCAGTAGATGAGATGAGTGCCAGAGAAAGCATTTCCACTGAAGTTGTTGAAGCAGCACACGCCACGGAGGATGAGGAGGAGCCGCTTGCGCAAGATGCAACGCCAAAGCTTGGCAAAACGTGACGCCGGCGGCCTCCCTGTGCCGTTGTCGAGCTTCAGACTTCAGGCCAAGAGACCCGAAGCTGAAACCGTCCGCTAAACCCTACACCCTAAACTCTAAACCCTAAACCCTCTAAATACTAAACCCTAAAGCCTGAACCTATACCCTAAACCCGAAGCCCTAAACTCTGGCGAATCCAGCACAATAATATGAAGTACTTTTTAATCCCCGCACTGTGCTTCAGTGCATCGTCTCTCTACATCGCATGCCAATGAGCCTTGTCAGGTCCTTCGTCGCGGTGGTGGTGGGTGGCCTGAGCGCATGGGCTTTGTGCCAATGCTTTGTGAACTCACCCGCCGCAAAGCGAATCCAGAGTATCTGCAAAGAGTCTCAGAGGATCCCCAGGCCCAATTCCGGAATAAGTCATGTATCCAATGTCGTGGCGTGCCCGGCACTACAGTATCCTCGATGCCACTGGAGTGCCCAACCCCTGCGCAATTCCAGAGTACCCCCACAGAGTCCCAGATTACTCCCAGAGAATTGCCAGAGTGTCCCTGGAGCGCCCAACCCCAAATTCCTTGTCTGCAGGGTGGGGATGTTGGGGACAGAAACCACCATCGGTTGCAATTTCAACTTTAAAGTTTAGCCCATCGGCGATTTTAGTTCCACGCTTCGTGTTGTGATGAGCACCTTTCACTCTACTTACAATATTAGCAAAACGTCTTTTGTTTCCTAAGTAAAACCTGGAACCTCCACCAAAAGCCACACCAACCTCTGTTGTTTCCAAATTGCAGGCACAGACGCTTCTGAAAAAAACATTTTGGTTCCTTCTGGGCATTCCATACTTTCTGACAGTTCAACAAGAAAATTGACAAAATCACTGTTTGAATTGAATTCGGTTGAGGCAACCTGTAGCTTTTGTCTTTGATATAAAAACACGTTTGTCAGTCCAGTTCATTTTTTTTCAATCTGTTGTATGTTTATTTCGACCAGACTAGATTCCGAGCTCTTTTTTTGGGTTTTGGGAGAGGAAGGTGCATGATGAAGGCACCCTGTGAAGTCGTATGAACAGAATTCATGCCGAGTCTGAAAACCAGACCCATTCTGTCGAGCTTCACGACGTACCTTCTTGTCATGGGGTTGTAGAAAGACCTGGAAGGTCAAACATAATTTTCAACATCATCATGGATGAAGACATTGGCAGGTTTACTTCTTTCCTTCCAATTCAGGACATGTGGGCTCTTGTTCAAGATGTGCCAATCCCAAAGGCACCCCCAGAAACAGAGATATTAAGATCTCTGCTTCAAGACGAGGCTTCATGAGGCATCCCACATTTCGCCGTGCCGATTCCATGGTCTTCGACTTGGCGACATTGGTAAAGAAATCCGCCCCCCCCCCCCCCCCCCCAATGTGTAACAGCAAGCGTGATGTTAGGCTGCGCCATTAGGCGCTTGAACAGTCCGGGGCGGGAGATGTGGATTGAGTGAAGTCAGAAAAATGACCGAAGATCCACGGATGTCAGGAACTTAGGATTGACTTCCAGCATTTGTGCACGTTGAACAAGGCATGCAGGTCATGCCGCTGAGCATTCAGTTTTACAGGTCGCTGTGTCTGGTAGCTGCCCATTGCATGCCGCAGCTGGCACCGAATCCTTGGTTCAGCAAGCCAGCTAATACATCACGGTCATGCGAAAGCAAACCAGAAAGAATTTCTTAAAACCCTGCAAACAGTTCACGCTGTAAGTAGAAAACCCCTTGCTTTGGACCCCCCATGTGGGTGCTTTCCTCACATAGGGTATGTTCATGTGTTTCTTTTCCGAAAGCACGTCGAGACAATGTGGGAACTCCGCCGGGCCAATGTCGCCATGGAGCTGCCGCAGGCGGAGCGGCCGGATTTGCCTGGCCGCTTCATCCGCACCGTCTTCGTGGCCTCAAATCTTCGGCAAGGTGGGCACGGCGAGTATGAGAGTGCGAAGCAGTGGGAAGAGGCCAAGGTGCATTTGCTGTTGGAGATCGACCTCAGGCTTGTAGAAGATGCAGAAGTCCAAAAGCTGAGGCTTTGCACTCCTGAGGACATGGACAGTATCCCACGAGAAATGATTGAGTGCAGCACACTGAAGCTCGAAGACAAAGAGAGGGTTGTTGGCTTCAAATGGAACGAGGTGCAGTGTCGGGCAACAGGAAGCACGGTGTACTTCAATGTGCAAGTGCTGTTGAAGAAGGGGGGAGACGATTGGCAAGAGCCCTTGTCACGGGAATTGTTTCGAAGGGAATACGATTTCCCTGGCCACGAGGTTACCATGCAAAGCAGAACATCCGCAGCAGAGGTCAGGGCATTCAATGCCTTCAGCGGCCGACAGCGCCACCACATAACCGGCTTGACGTATCAGAGCTGGAGCAGCGTTGAATGCGCCACAGGACGAGATCTGATGTTCTGGGTGGACCTTTTGATTCTCACTGGTGGGCTGTACTATCTCGATGTGGGCACGGATGTGCAACAGCTATTCTTGTTCTTTTCCGAAGGAAACTACGAGTACTTTGCCTTGAATATTTTTGGTATTGCAATTCCTATGGTCACTACAGCAATGGATGCACTCAAGTGGAGTGAAGGAGCAGTTGCCCGACCCCAAGCTGATTGGGTCAAGCGAATCATCCCTTTCAGTGCCCTTCGGGTTTTGCTGATTGTAGTCTTGGTGCTGACGCAGTGCCATATGCTGCTCTTGGTTGCTGCATCAGCATCGATGCGGATCAAGCATGACTTGCTGTTGGGTGCGAAGCATGCCGAGGTGGCTGAAGCTGTTGTGTCGGCAGGTTTGCAGAGCAACTACTGGTTTGTAGTGCTCGTGGGCATCCAGTCGGTTTCAGGAGATGCATTTCAAAGTCTGACCTTTTCACTGATCGTTTCCTGTACGAGCTTGGCATTTGGGTTCGCAACCAGAGATAAGACCGACTCAAGAGTGCTGAACGTGCCTGGAAAGTTGGGCTGGAGCCCAACCTTTGCGGCCTTGTTCTTTGCCCGAGTGTTAGAAATCACCAGCCGGCTCTTGGCCTTCAACATGATACACCTTGCGACCAGGACCGTGGTGCCCATTGGTGGGCCCGTAGCCGTTGCCCTCATGGTGGCTGCTGCTTGGTTTCTCTTCCCCGAAGCTGAGAAGTCTCTTGTGCTGGCAGCTGTGATAGGCCACCCGGGCCAAGTGATGCTGGGGAGGCGCTCTTGCATCCCCTTGAGGTTCTCCCTTATGATGCACGCGTTGCTGCAGCTGATAGCTGTGATCCTTCAAGGTCTGGTTCGCATAAATGAAAGCTTGCTGCCAGAGGCCAGGGCAGTGCCATGGGCCATCATAGTAATATCTCTAGCCACCAGCGTCGGGAGCAGCTTGGGGCTATGTTGGCTTTCGCACATCGGTGACAGCATCAAGCACCCCGTCTTGGAAGAGGCAAGAAAGGGTGAAACCCTGACGTGCACAAAGCTGGCGGCCGCTCTCGACCTTTCCCAGCTGCCGATTCCGGTGCTTGCTGCGGCGGACGAGCTAGCGCTGGATCTCGAGGCCCTCGAAGACGACCAGATTCTCTTAAGGTTGGCGACAGCAAAGACCCCGGTCGTTGTGCCTTCCTTTTGCATCAAGGAGGTCGTTTCGAGGTGCGATCAGCCCTTTGAGCAGCTGCAGCACATCAATGTGATTCATGCCGATTTTGTCGAATGCCATGCAGGTTTGACATCATTAGAATACCCTTGGGGCCGTATCCAGTGGATGAACCTCAAAGTGATTCGCTTCAAAGAGCGGAAAGTCCCAGCCGCATTGATGGCCATGTTGGCTCGTTGCAAGCAGCTGGAAGAGGTCAGCTTCGCAGAGTGCCAGGAGACTGAATTTGATGCCTGGGAGCATCTCAAGGATTCCCAGTGGCTCAAGCTGAGAATCGCTGATTTTGCTGGGTGTTTCGAAGGTTGCGACCGCAAAGGAGGACTTGTACTTCAGACCTTGTTCAAATCCACCAAGCTCGAAGTGTTGGACTGGAGCAGAAACGGGTTCTGGTTGCCTGAGGCAGAGGCAGACTTCTTGGCTTCGAATGGTGAGTGCGACAAGCCGGCGTCATCGCCTTGGAATTGGCGCAACCTCAAAATCGTCCGCTTCTTTGAACAGCAAATCCCTGCTACAGTGCTGATCATGCTAGCTCAATGCAAGCAGCTGGAAGAGATCAACATCCATTGTTGTGGGGGGACTGATTGTTGGGAACACGTTAGGGACGCGCAGTGGCCGAAACTGAAAGTGGCCAGTTTCTGGGGGAATTTCGACGTCGACCACTTCGGAGGCGGCAAGCACGAGCACGATGCCTGCGTGGTCCTCCAAACCTTGGCCAAGTGTACTGAGCTCGAAGTGCTGGATTTTGGTTTGAACACTTCCACGACGGAGGAATGGGATGAGCTGTTTACCCAGGGCTGCTGGCCGAAGCTGCAGTGGGCGAAGTGTAGTTTTGGCCGACAGCGCCCGAGCGACCGATTTCGACCGCGGGCAGCAGCAGAGTCCGCAGAGTCAGCGGAGATTTTGCCCAGACATCTCACTCACGTGTTGATGTGGCTTGCGGCGGGTCAACTCGATGCTTCTCTGCCATGGCTGGCCGAGTGTCGAGACATCGAATTCTTCCATGCGATTTCTGGTGCGCAGCTGCCAGTTTGGGCTTGGCAATCCTTGGAAAAGGCCACTTGGCCGAACCTCAGGGTCGCGAAGCTCCTTGGCTGCTTCGGTGATTTCAGCCAGGAAGTGGACGGAGCGCCTGCAGTGCTGCAGCTGTTGGCACGCAGCCGGCACCTGGAAGTCATCCATCTCGAGGAGTGTGGCTGCATCGCAGCCGAGGCTTGGGAGCTGCTAAGAGAGGCACAGTGGATGGAGCTGAAGGAAGCTTCTTGGGGGGGCTGCTTCAGGAGAGGTCACCCGGCATGCGAGAAGGCTGGTGTGGTGATGCAACTCATGTCACGCTGCGAGAGCTTGGAGAAGATCAATTTGGAGGGCTGCAAGGGCATATCAGATGAGGATTTCAAGTTGCTGGGCGGAGCCTCATGGCCCGAGTTGAGAGTCGCGAATTTCGCCAGCTGTTTCGAGGAGTGCGAGGCTTTGACTCGGCGGACGGTGCTGCAAGCGTTGAGCCGCTGCCGAAAGCTGGAGCGCTTGAACTTCACGTCCTGCGAAACCACTGCCGAAGATCTGCTGGAGCTGCCCAGCGGCTGTTGGCCCAATCTGAAACTTGAAGAGTGCAGGGGCTTTGAGTGCCGCACATGGGATGACGATGGTACTGAGATGTATGACATGCAGTATGACATGCAAAGGCAGCTGCAGCGCCTGCGACAAGCAGATCTGGAAGCGACCGGCAGCAGTGGGTTGTCCATCCAAATCGAAGAGCCCGCAGCGGACGTGCCTGATGTTGCAGCACCAGGCACAGATGAAGAACCGCTGCAAGTGCCCAGTGGTGTCTTGCCCGATCTCAAGTCTGATGATGTCGATGGTTCAGAGGAACAGGTGGAGCCCTCCTTCCAGGAATCAGAGCAGAACCAAGCAGCCACCAGGTTGTCCATCCAACCTGAAGAACGCTGTGAGGATGTGGAGAATGCTGGGGCCAAGAAGGCCAAAGCCAGCAAATCTCATGGAAAGGCGAAGAGAGCTAACATCAAAGTCAAAGCTAAGACGAAGGAGATGAGATGAGTGCCAGAGAAAGCATTTCCACTGAAGTTGTTGAAGCAGCACACGCCACGGAGGATGAGGAGGAGCCGCTTGCGCAAGATGCAACGCCAAAGCTTGGCAAAACATGACGCCGGCGGCCTTCCTGTGCCGTTGTCGAGCTTCAGACTTCAGGCCAAGAGACCCGAAACTGAAAACGTCCGCTAAACCCTACACCCTAAACTCTAAACCCTAAACCCCAGTTATGCCTCTACTTAGAACCTGCTTAGGGGCCTCAGGGGGCTTGTAGAGTTGTAATTGAGTTACAAGTACCTGAACCTCCATGTAGACATGAGTTGCCATCGCTCTTTCAAATATATCTTGCGGTTCGGTCCTCTTCCAGGCACACTTGGGATGGGTGGGCGGTTTAGGGTTTAGGGTTCAGGGTTTAGGGTTTAGGGCCTCCCAAGTCTTCAGGTCCATGTTGTTTGGGGTCTTCACACCAGTGCTAGTCATCATAAGGCCGCTACCTGCATCTTCTCCGCTCCTGGCATGTGCTTGTACTGTCGCTTCAGTTCTTTGGGCGTGTTCTTGAGGGTGATGTGATCTACATTTTGTCTGTGCCGAACCACGCATCTTTTTTTCTGGTGTGCCCCTATGGAGCCAACGGGATGGCCGCCAGCTTCTCATTCACACTCTTCTTGGAGCAGTGGTGTAATCTCATACCCCAAAATCCCACGTAGGGCGCCTCCTACAGCTGAGTTAGAACCGGGCCAAGCCGGCATGTGTGACACTAGCACGTGTTGAATCAGAATCCTCTCAGCGCCGAGCCCTACGCCCAAATACAGACCCGTTCGGCAGCAGTATTCGAGCTTTCATTGGAGGCGAACTTTGCCACATCCGGTTCGTGACGTGATTTTGGCTCAAGAGGGCTTGAGACTAGGAACAGGCCGATTTTTCAGGAGTTTGCCACGATTGCTCACCGATGGCTCGCAGCTTGTGCGGTGCTCAGGGGTGGGGGATGTGACGCGCGCAACAGCAGCTGCAAAATGCCCCAAATTTGCTTTGATAGAGCTTGAAACTAGACATCCCTTTACTGTGCTTCAGTGCCTCGTCTCTCAACATGGCATGCCAATGAGCCTTGTCAGGTCCTTCGTCGCGGTGGTGGTGGGTGGCCTGAGCGCATGGGCTTTGTGCCAATGCTTTGTGAACTCACCCGCCGCAAAGCGAATCCAGAGTATTCCAGAGTATTTGCAAAGAGTCTCAGAGGATCCCCAGGCCCAATTCCAGAATAAGTCCTGTGTCCAATGTCGTGGCGTGCCCGGCACTACAGTATCCTCGATGCCACTGGAGTGCCCAACCCCTGCGCAATTCCAGACTCCCCCACAGAGTCCCAGATTACTCCCAGAGAATTGCCAGAGTGTCCCTGGAGCGCCCAACCCCAAATTCCTTGTCTGCAGGGTGGGGATGTTGGGGACAGAAACCACCATCGGTTGCAATTTCAACTTTAAAGTTTAGCCCATCGGCGATTTTAGTTCCACGCTTCGTGTTGTGATGAGCACCTTTCACTCTACTTACAATATTAGCAAAACGTCTTTTGTTTCCTAAGTAAAACCTGGAACCTCCACCAAAAGCCACACCAACCTCTGTTGTTTCCAAATTGCAGGCACAGACGCTTCTGAAACAAACATTTTGGTTCCTTCTGGGCATTCCATACTTTCTGACAGTTCAACAAGAAAATTGACAAAATCACTGTTTGAATTGAATTCGGTTGAGGCAACCTGTAGCTTTTGTCTTTGATATAAAAACACGTTTGTCAGTCCAGTTCATTTTTTTTACAATCTGTTGTATGTTTATTTCGAGCAGACTAGATTCCGAGCTCTTTTTTTGGGTTTTGGGAGAGGAAGGTGCATGATGAAGGCACCTGAAGTCGTATGAACAGAATTCATGCCGAGTCTGAAAACCAGACCCATTCTGTCGAGCTTCACGACGTACCTTCTTGTCATGGGGTTGTAGAAAGACCTGGAAGGTCAACATAATTTTCAACATCATCATGGATGAAGACATTGGCAGGTTTACTTCTTTCCTTCCAATTCAGGAGATGTGGGCTCTTGTTCAAGATGTGCCAATCCCAAAGGCACCCCCAGAAACAGAGATATTAAGATCTCTGCTTCAAGACGAGGCTTCATGAGGCATCCCACATGACGCCGCGCCGATTCCATGGTCTTCGACTTGGCGACATTGGTAAAGAAAATCAGCCCCCCCCCCCCCCCCCCCAATGTGTAACAACAAGCGTGATGTTAGGCTGCGCCATTAGGCGCTTGAAAAGTCCGGGGCGGGAGATGTGGATGGAGTGAAGTCAGAAAAATGGCCGAAGATCCACGCATGTCAGGAACTTAGGATTGACTTCCAGCATTTGTGGACGTTGAACAAGGCATACAGGTCATGCCGCTGAGCATTCAGTTTTACAGGTCGCTGTGCCTGGTCGCTGCCCACTGCATGCCGCAGCTGGCACCGAATCCTTGGTTCAGCAAGCCAGCTAATACATCACGGTCATGCGAAAGCAAACCAGAAAGATGAGCTTAAAACCCTTCAAACAGTTCACGATGTAAGTAGAAAACCCCTTGCTTTGGACCCCCCATGTGGGTGCTTTCCTCACATAGGGTATGTTCATGTGTTTCTTTTCCGAAAGCACGAGACAATGTGGGAGCTCCGCCGGGCCAATGTCGCCATGGAGCTGCCACAGGCGGAGCGGCCGGATTTGCCCGGCCGCTTCATCCGCACCGTCTTCGTGGCCTCAAATGTTCGGCAAGGTGGGCGCGGCACGTACGAGAGTGCGAAGCAGTGGGATTTGGCCAAAGTGCATCTGCTGCTGGAGATCGACCTTAGGCTTGTAGAAGATGCAGAAGTCCAGAGGTTGAGGCTTTGCACTCCCGAGGACGCGGAAAGCATCCCACGAGAGATGATTGAGTGCAGCACACTGAAGCTCGAAGACAAAGAGAGGGTTGTTGGCTTCAAATGGAACGAAGTGCAGTGTCGGGCAACAGGAAGCACGGTGTACTTCAATGTGCGAGTGCTGTTGAAGGAGGAGGGAGACGATTGGCCAGAGCCCTTGTCACGGGAGTTGTTTCCAAAGGAATACGATTTCCCTGGCCACGAGGTTACCATGCAATGCAGAACATTTGCAGCAGAGGTCAGGGCATTCAATGCCTTCAGAGGCCGACAGCGCCACCACATAACCGGCTTGACGTTTCAGAGCTGGAGCAGCGTTGAATGCGCCACAGGGCGAGATCTGATGTTCTGGGTGGACCTTTTGATGCTCACTGGTGGGTTGTACTACCTCGATGTGGGGACGGATGTGCAACAGCTCTTCTTGTTTTCAGAAGAAAACTACGACTACCTTGCCTTGAATATTTTTGGAATTGCAATTCCTATGGTCACTACAGCAATGGATGCACTCAAGTGGAGTGAAGGAGCAGTTGCCCGACCCCAAGCTGATTGGGTCAAGCGAATCATCCCTTTCAGTGCCCTTCGGGCTTCGCTGATTGTAGTCTTGGTGCTGACACAGTGCCATATGCTGCTCTTGGTTGTTGCATCAGCATCGATGCGGATCAAGCATGACTTGCTGTTGGGTGCGAAGCATGCCGAGGTGGCTGAAGCTGTTGTGTCGGCAGGTTTGCAGAGCAACTACTGGTTTCTACTCCTCGTGGGCATCCAGTCGGTTTCAGGAGATGCGTTTCAAAGTCTGACCTTTTCACTGACCGTTTCCTGTATGAGCTTGGCGTTTGGGTTCGCAACCAGAGATAAGACCGACACAAGAGTGCTGAACGTGCCTGGAAAGTTGGGCTGGAGCCCAACCTTTGCGGCCTTGTTCTCTGCCCGAGTGTTAGAAATCACCAGCCGGCTCTTGGCCTTCAACATGATACACCTCGCGACCAGGACCGCAGTGCCCATTGGTGGGCCCGTAGCTGTTGCCCTCATGGTGGCTGCTGCTTGGTTTGTCTTCCCCGAAGCTGACAAGTCTCTTGTGCTGGCAGCTGTGATTGGCCACCCGGGCCAAGTGATGCTGGGGATGCGCTCTTGCATCCCCTTGAGGTTCTCCATTAGGATGCACGCGTTGCTCCAACTGATAGCTGTGATCCTTCAAGGTCTGGTGCGCATCAATGAAAGCTTGCTGCCAGAGGCCAGGGCAGTGCCATGGGCCATCGTAGTGGTATCTCTAGCCACCAGCATCGGGAGCAGCTTGGGGCTATGTTGGCTTTCGCATATTGGTGACGGCATCAGGCACCCTGTCTTGGAAGAGGCAGGAAAGGGTGAAGCCCTGACTTGCACGAAGCTGGCGGCTGCTCTCGGCCTTTCCCAGCTGCCGCTTCCGGTGCTTGCCGCGGCGGACGAGCTATCGCTGGATCTCGAGGCCCTCGAAGACGACCGGATTCTCTTAAGGTTGGCGACAGCAAAGACCCCGGTCATTGTGCCTTCCTTTTGCATGAAGGAGGTCGTTTCGAAGTGCGATCAGCCTTTTGAGCAGCTGCAGCACATCAATGTGATTCATGCCGATTTTTCCGAATGCGATGCAGATTTAACATCCTTAGAATACCCTTGGGATCGCTTAGAGTGGATGAACCTCAAAGTGATTCGCTTCAAAGAGCGGAAAGTCCCAGCCGCATTGATGGCCATGTTGGCTCGTTGCAAGCAGCTGGAAGAGGTCATCTTCGCAGAGTGCCAGGAGACGGATGATGCTGCCTGGGAGCATCTCGAGGATTCCCAGTGGCTAAAGCTGCGAATGGCCGATTTTGCTGGGTGTTTCGAAGGTTGCGACCGCAAAGGAGGACTTATTCTTCAGACCTTGTTCAAGTCCACCAAGCTCGAAGTGTTGGACTGGAGCAGAAACGGGTTCTGGTTGCCTGAGGCAGAGGCGGACTTGTTGGCTTCGAATCCTCAGTGCAACAAACCGGCGGCATCTCCTTGGACTTGGCGCAACCTCGAAATCGTCCGTTTCGAAGGCGGGAAAATCCCAGCCGCAGTGCTGATCATGTTAGCTCGTTGCGAGCGGCTGGAAGAGATCAAATTCGATTGGTGTGGGAGTACTGATTGTTGGGAACACCTTAAGGACGCGCAGTGGCCGAAGCTGAAAGTGGCCAATTTCCATCGGTGCTTCCTTGAGGACACGAAAGCTGGCGCCATGGTGCTCCAAACCTTGGCCAGGAGTGCTGAGCTCGAAGTGCTGGACTTTGATCTCAACTGCACCACGACGGAGGAATGGGATGAGCTGTTTGCCCAGGGCTACTGGCCGAAGCTGCAGTGGGAGAAGTGTGATTTTGGCGATCATCGCCCGAGCGACCGATTTCGACCGCGGGCAGCAGCAGAGTCGGCGGAGATTCTGCCCAGATATGTGACTCACGTGGAGATGCAGAATGAGGCGGGTCATCTCGATGCTTCGGTGCTGCCATGGCTGGCCAAGTGCCGAGACATCGAATTCTTCCATGCGAGTTCTGGTACGGAGATGCCAGTTTGGGCTTGGCAATCTTTGGAAAAGGCCACTTGGCCGAATCTCAGGGTAGCGAATTTCTGGGGCTGCTTCGATGAACTCAGCGAAGGACTGGACGGAGCCCCTGCCGTGCTGCAGCTGTTGGCACGCAGCCGGCACCTGGAGATCATCGATCTTGATGGTTGTGGCCACATCGCAGCGGCGGCTTGGGAGCTGCTGCGGGAGGCACAGTGGATGGAGCTGAAGGAAGCTTCTTGGTATTTCTGCTTCAGGAGACGCGCACCAGCCCGCGACAAGGCTGGTGTGGTGATGCAACTCATGTCACGCTGCGAGAGCTTGGAAAAGATCAGTTTGAGGTCGTGCAATGGCATATCAGATGAGGATTTCAAGTTGCTGGGCGGAGCCTCATGGCCCGAGTTGAGAGACGCGAATTTCGCCGACTGTTTCGAGGAGTGCGAAACTTCGACTCGGCGGACGGTGCTGCAAGCGTTGAGCCGCTGCCGAAAGCTGGAGCGCTTGAACTTCGCGTCCTGCGAAACCACTGCCGAAGATCTGCTGGAGCTGCCCAGCGGCTGTTGGCCCAATCTGAAACTTGAAGAGTGCAGGGGCTTTGAGTGCAGCACATGGGATGACGATGGTACGGAGATGTATGACATGCAGTATGACATGCAAAGGCAGCTGCAGCGCCTGCGACAAGCAGATCTGGAAGCGACCGGCAGCAGTGGGTTGTCCATCCAAATCGAAGAGCCCGCAGCGGACGTGCCTGATGTTGCAGCACCAGGCACAGATGAAGAACCGCTGCAAGTGCCCGGTGGTTGTTTGCCCGATCTCAAGTCTGATGACTTCGATGGTTCAGAGGAGCAGTTGGATCCCACATTCCAGGAATCAGAGCAGAACCAGGCCAACAGGTTGTCCATCCAACCTGAAGAACCACCCTTTGGGGAGGTGGAGAATGCGGGGGCCAAGAAGGCCAAAGCCAGCAAATCTCATGGAAAGGCGAAGAGAGCTAAGATTAAAGTCAAAGCTAAGACGAAGGCCAGAAAGGCAGCGGCAGATGAGATGAGCGCCAGAGAAAGCTTTTCCACTGAAGTTGTTGAAGCAGCACACGCCACGGAGGATGAGGAGGAGCCGCTTGCGCAAGATGCAACGCCAAAGCTTGGCAAAACATGACGCCGGTGGCCTTCCTGTGCCGTTGTCGAGCTTCAGACTTCAGGCCAAGAGACCCGAAGCTGAAAACGTCCGCTAAACCCTACACCCTAAACTCTAAACCCTAAACCCGAAACCCTAAAGCCTGAACCTATACCCTAAACCCAAAGCCCTAACTCTGTCGAATCCAGCAATAACATGAAGTACTTGGAGGTTCATGGGGACTTATCGCCCCAATTTTAACTCTACTTACAATCTGCTTAGAGGGGACTCAGGGGGCTTGTAGAGTTGTAATTCAGTTATAAGCACCTGAACCTCCATGTAGACATGAGTTGCCATCGCTCTTTCAAATATGTCTTGCGGTTCGGTCCTTTTCCAGGCACTCTTGGGATGGGTGGGCGGTTTAGGGTTTAGCGCCTCCCAAGTCTTCAGGTCCTGTCGCTTCAGTTCTTTGGGCGTGTTCTTGAGGGTGATCTACATGTTTTCAGTGCTGAACCACGCATCTTTTTTTCTGGTGTGCCCCTATGGAGCCAACGGGATGGCCGCCAGCTTCTCATTCACACTCTTCTTGGAGCAGTGGTGTAATCTCATACCCCAAAATCCCACCCAGGGCACCTTCTACAGCCGAGTTAGAACAGGGCCAAGCCGGGATGTGTGACACCAGCACGTGTTGAATCAGAATCTGCTCAACGCCGAGCCCTACGCCCAAGTATGGGCCTGGAAGGATAAGGCGCCGGATCTCCTCTCGCTTCTCTCGGAGGGCTTGCTAGCAGTATTCGACTTTTCATTGGATGCGCACTTTGCCACATGATCCGGATCTTGATGTGATTTTGGCTAAAGAGGGCTTGAGAATAGGAACAGGCCGATTTTTCAGGAGTAGTTTGCCACGATTGCTCACCGATGGCTCGCAGCTTGTGCGGTGCTCAGGGGTGGGGGATGTGACGCGCGCAGCAGCAGCTGCAAAATGCCCCAAATTTGCTTTGATAGAGCTTGAAACTAGACATCCCTTTACTGTGCTTCAGTGCCTCGTCTCTCAACATGGCATGCCAATGAGCCTTGTCAGGTCCTTCGTCGCGGTGGTGGTGGGTGGCCTGAGCGCATGGGCTTTGTGCCAGTGCTTTGTGAACTCACCCGCCGCAAAGCGTGAGATCAATGTTGTCCGATACGATGAGATGCCGGCGGAAAGGCCAGGATACTACCCGGTGGGCAACGCCAAGCGGACGGCACCTTACGGCGAGCGCGACCCTCTCCCAGAAGGCTATGGCATTCGCACTGGTCTGTCGGACCTGCTGAAGCCATTGAACGCGGAGGCCGGCGTCGTTGCGAAGGAGGACAGCATCCCCACCGTCCTTGTGATGGTGTTTGGTATTGTGATGCTCTTCCTCTTCTACTTGCTCCTGCTGCTGCTCGACAACCAGTCCGTGCTGCTTCCGCCCGAGGACGAGTTCGACGAGTATGTGGCCAACTTCTTGCCATACTTCTTCTTCGGTGAGAAGTGAGTGAAGTGTAGAGAGAGTAGAGATGAGCAGGGCAGGCTGAGACTCTCCAGCCCTTGTGGGCGACGTTTGCAGTGACCTGCTGCGCATGGTGAGAGCCTGCCGTCCGAGTTTTTGCAAAAAGCCAGAGCTTGTCTTGTAGAGGATGGTGCCTGTGTTATGCTGCATCGCATCAGAAGTTTGCGACTGTGTCCTGAGGATCTTCCTCGTTCTTCGGAACGAGGCTGCAAGCACCTAGTAGACTTCTGTGCGCAGCTGCTTTGTTTCAAGGCGTGGCCTTACCAAAAAACGGCGGCCCTTCCTTTACTTAACTTTCCACACCCCCGAGCGCTGAGATGGAGTCTTTCAAGAGCCTCCTGGCCAAATCGGACGGCGCCGACAGCGACGCCGACAGCGTGGCTGAGGTGGTCCAACTCTCCGGTCTCGTGCCGCCCCTGCAGCTCGACACGCAGGACTTGTTGTTGCAGGGAATGGGGGAATTCGGGCCCTACATATATATATATATATATGTATATATGTATATATGTATATATGTATATATGTATATATGTATATATGTATATATGTATATATGTATATATGTATATATGTATATATATATATATGTATATATATATATATCCCCTTCAAGGGACCATACAGGGTACCTGATTCCCCCATTCCCTGCTGACCAACAGTAAGAGGAGTGCACGATGGTCATCATCATGCCCCGGAACAAGACTGCAGGGGGTATCGTGGACCACAAGGAGACTGTGGAGAACCCTTTGACCAAGGCGAAGCGCATCTTTGATATGCCCAACAACCATGACAGCTGCAAGACGCTGGCCAAGCTTGAGCACATCAAGTCGGATGAGCCCATGTCCATGGACCTTTATCAGGCAGCACTCGTAGCAATATGGAGTGTGGCTGCATCAAAGGACTGGTTATCATGAATCGCAGCTGCTTCACGTTGCTTCCACATTCTTTTTGCCTCATCACCATCATCATCGCCATCATCATCATCATCATCATCATGATAATCATCACGGGGTCACGTTGCCCTTGTCATGATCGCGGTCCTCATGTTCATCTTCATGATGCTTGCCGTCTTCGCCATCACTGTCGTAGTCACGGTATGTCATGGTCAACTCATGATTGTCGTAGTCACCGTCGTAATCGTCACCGTCATCCCGTCCTTATCCTCGTCGAGCCGTCGTCGTGGTCAGCCTTACGTGCACGTCATATTTCGTTGCGGTGTCATTGCAGTGACGTTTCAGAGGCAGCGCTTCTAAACCCTAAACCCTAAACCCTAAACCCTAAACCCTAAACCCTAAACCCTAAACCCTAAACCCTAAACGAGCTGTTGAGGCCGACATCCGCAAACGCTTCATGGATGTCCTTAAAGAGTCCGGATTCAAGGCTCGCTTTCCGTGCAGGTGTGAAGTGTCGGATGAGGGGACACACGAGTGGGTTTAGGGTTTAGGGTTTAGGGTTTAGGGCTTAGGGCTTTGAGGTGGTGGCGGGTTTGGCATTTAGCTGCTAGCTGCAGCTGGGTTCAGGGTTTAGGGTCTGCGGAGCTCGGAATATCCAATTCGCACGGTCGGGAGTGCGGCACTCGACCGCGGTCGAGGAAAACAGGATGCTGGAGAGCTGCCGACACGAAAACCCTGAACGCTGAGTCTGCAGCGTAAGGGTCTGAGCTCGTGTGCTTGTTGTTGAGTGAAGCTCTGGTAGGGTGGTGGGAGTTGCAAAGAAGTTAAGCAGGCAGCAAAGAGAGGGCTCCAACTTTGCGGTTGGGGTTCCTTTGTATGTGCGCGCTGTTAAACTTGCGACGCGCACGCGCCCCTGCCGGTGCCAGACCTGGTCTTGGGACCTGCCAAGAACTCCCTTGAACCTTCCCCAAGGCCCCCCGCCCTCCACACCAGCCGTGCTTGCTGATGCTTCTGACAAGGCTCCTTGAATTTCCAGTGGTTGTCTCCAAGGCCCCCCACCATGGTACTCAACAGACAAAGCACCCCTGAAGCCAGAGCTTCTGGTATTCCCAAGATTCCCAAGAAGGTTCTCAGGGGGTCCCCGCAGGGTCGGGCAAATCCACCCAAAATTCCCAAAGCCGATCCGGCATACCGGACGGTCCCCAGAAAATCCCCCACAAGGTCTACAGGTTGGTGCACACGATTCCGTAAAGATTCACCGGCACCGACACCGTGCAAAAGCCCGGTGGTCGCATGGCGTGGGTTCCACGGTCCTCCTCCATGGAAGAGCTGCCAAGAGTACCTTCCCTCCCCAAAATCATCCAGCACGTCGCCCCAGACTCGGTAGAAAGGTGGAGGGTTTTTAAGGTTTTTGTGGCTTAGGGTTTAGGGTTTACTTCTACAAAGCCCGAAGCCGTGAATCCCTGAACGCGCTGCGGAGGCGCAACCATTCCCGAGCATTGATCGGGATGAGACGTTCCTCAAGCCACTGGCCTTGTAGAGGGTTGAGGACCTGCGGAATTCAGGGTTGAACGGTATTGATGGTATTGGGAAAGGAGGGATTTAGGAGTCGGGTTCAGGCTGGTATAAGGTTTGGGGATTTCGGGTCTGGCTTTTGCAGATCAGGGTCGAGGTTTTGAACGAGCGTGGGTTGGAGCGCGTTTACAGGGTTTCACGCTTCGTGGCTGCGGTGGATCAGGCTTTCAAAAACCCTCCCCACCCCTATTCTAGACACAGGCCACTCTTCCGATACTCAGAGGCTTGAAAACCCTAAACCCTAAACCCTAAACCTTGAACCCTAAACCCTAAACCCTAAACCCTAAACCCTGAACCCTAAACCCTACACCCTAAACCCTAAACCCCAAACCCTAAACCGATAGATCTCCCCCAAAGGCTCTATTTGCCCCTCGATGGCGAGCACATCGCCGTGATGGCAGAGCACCTGGAGTACGACATGCCGGTGAAGGAGCACCTCTTGCCTTCCTAAGTTTGCCCGGGGTGTCGGGGTGGACCACATGCAGCCTCAAGGAAGGCTGATGCGGGGTGTCAAGGGAGAAGCCGTGGCCCTGACCCCAAACCAGAAACCCCAAACCCGAAACCCGAAACCCAACCGTAGACCCTTTGTGTTCTTTTGGATTCTTCCGGAGTCTCGCAGTGCAACTTCAAACGGCCTACAATGAGTAAAATTCTGCTGTGGGAAGGGGTATTTGCCGAAACAGCTGTGGCGATGCTTGCACCCAAGATTGATGCACTGAGGCGCATGGCCCTGGGAAGAAACCGCAATGCTGCACAGCCAGGGTAACTTACGGTATCCTTGTCTGTCAGCTTTTTTGTTTTAAAGTTTTGGACACATGTTTCGTAGGTTTTGCATGGTTTTTGTGCAGATTGAGACCGTGGCCGCGCAAGGTAAACCTGAAGCTCTAAACCCCGCAGCTTCTTCGGGGTTCTTGGGCTGGGGTTTCGAGCCTGAAACCCCCCAAAACCGCAACCCCTCCCTAAACCCCGTTCTTGTCAACAGGAGTCAGTCTATGAGACGGTAGAGCCGCACGGACCCTACCCAGGTCCGGGGTTCTCTTCACGATGCTCAGGTTTCTGTAGGGTTCAGGGATTTAGGGTCTAGAGTTTTTTCAAGCTGCGGCTTCGGGCTGATAAATAAATCACGAAAGCATGGTCACGAAAGCTCGTACTGAGCCTAGGCTTGACTTCTACTCTGCTTTGGCAGGGGTTTTTGACCAGCCCCTCGCAAGTCGCCTTTTTTGAAAGTTTCGGAAAAAGGGTGGTCACTTGTGCACGGTTCACAGAAAGGGAATAGAGTTTACTAATTACAAGGGGGTCACTATTGATTCTCTCAGTACATCAATTGGTCAATTGGGGTATACTTGAAGGTTACACGGGGATCTTGAGCTAGTATAGATCGTGATGTGTCGTACATCATCTTCTCTTGACCTCTATGAGCGAGTGGTAGGGGCGGTGGCGTGTGGTGAAGCGTGTGAGTGTAGTGACGGTGTGTGGTGGCGTGTGTGATGGTGGCGTGTGGTGGCGTGTGGCGGCGAGTGCGAAACTGCAAGCTGTCATCGTTTTTGTACTCCTGGGCCTACGAAATGCAAAGCTGCTCCAAAAGCCAGAGTGCCGACAGTTTCGTATCTCGTGAGAAGCCACGACACTTTCGCATCTCGTGAGCCCAGAAGTCCACAAGCCATGGCAATTTTGAGGACGGCGAGCGCGGTGACACCCGCGCTTTAGGGTGCGATTTTCGTCCAAATGCGGAACAAGCCTGGAGAAAGCCCATGGGCGGCGACAGCCCCCTCCCCCGCCGCTGCCGCGCCGTGTGGCGTTGCCGGTGTGGCCTCTCTTACCCTCAAGGTTGGAGCCCCTTAAAGTTGACACATTGTTTGGGGAATAGCAATTGTAATGCTAACAATGAAATGAGATGTCACAATGATGAGAATAATAACAAGGAGAACAAGAACAAAGCGAAGCAAAAGCTATAACACAACAAGTATAAGGATAACAAGGCAAGAATAACAAGAACAAAAGAAGAACAAACCAAGAATAACACTAATAACAAGAAACGATGTAGAGATCAAAGGTGTCTCTTGGGCACTAGGCTGCAGTTCAACCCCAAAAAGGGCCCTGACTTTACCTTGTCCTCCTCATTTTGAGTCGGACGTGAGAGTTATAGGTACCCTGTATCCCCCCATATGTACCCTTTTTGCAGGATTACATAGGGAAGCGAATTCCCGCATTCCCTACACAGAGCCGCTCATTTCCGAAACTAGGGGTACCTTATGAGGGTCCTGACTATAAGGGAATCCTACTATTTGGGGACTATACTAGGGGTCCCTTACCCCCATTCGCAGGATGTTATAGTCATGTAAGGGTCTTTTTCAGCATACAGTATCTAGAAGGCCTGGTAGAAAAAACATTGAAGTGTACAAGATTTCACAGCGCGCAGGGTTCAGGGCTCAGGGTGCTGCATGAATTTGGCCTGCCTGGGCTCAATCCTAAACCCTACACCCCAAACCCGAAACCCTGAATCTCCGGTTTAGGGTTTAGGGTTTAGGGATTAGGGTTTAGGGTTTAGGGAATCCCTGGTACAGGCCGGGTAGCCATGCACAACACTGACAAGCTCCCCGTTTTGGCACGGATTCCTTTTCGCGCTGCCGAGAAGGAAGTGTTTCGGTTTAGGGTTTGGGGCTTGGGGCTTGGGGTTTCGGGGGCTTTAGGGCGCAAGGCCCTAAGCCCTAAACCCAAAACCCTGAACCCTAAACCCTAAACCCTAAACCCTAAACCCTAAACCCTAAACCGAAACAAGGTTCCCGAAAGTGAGGTCTTCATCCCGACATGGGCCCCAGGCCTCGAAAACTGAAGAAACTCACAAGCCCTGGAACTGCGACCTCGAAGGGAAGATGAAGACAGTGTTGTTATGACAGGCCCTGGTGCAACCCTAAACCCTAAACCCTAAACCCTAAACCCTGAACCCTGAACCCTAAACCCTGAACCCTAAACCCTAAACCCTGAACCCTGAACCCTAAACCCTAAACCCTAAACCCTAAACCTTCAACCCTAAACATTCGGGGAGTATCGTCATGACCTGAGCTGACCTCATGATGCGTCGAAGGACCGGTTCTGCCCATTTCGCAGCATCGATGCCATTCGCCTTCTGGAGCTCCCTAGAGAGATGTTTGGGGTTAAGGGTTTAGGGTTTTGGGTTTAGGTTTCGTTTTCGGACGCCTTTCCGAAGTATCAGTGCATCCGGTTCACATCAGAGCAGGCAGTGGCCGAGAAGCCCGAAACTCTAAACCCCAAACCCCAAACCCCAAACCCTAAACCCTAAACCCTAATTAAACCCTAAACCCTAAACCCTCCAACTATCAAGGTCATGGAGCCTCCAAATTGGTTCCCGAATGTTGAATCCCCGAGGCCTCACAAGCAAACCTAACAGGATCCAGGTTTTGCAGCCCCTGAACCCTGTAAGGGTTTAGGGTGTAGGGTTTCTGGGTTTAGGGTTTAGGGTAAGGGTTTGGGGTAAACCCCCGGACCCAGAGAGTTCTCACTTGTGTGGGGCAACGTGTTCTTTCTCATCAGGCCCCCTACAGGCCCTGAGGCAGTAAGACACCAAACATCACCCCAAAACTTGGGGGTTGTTCCCCCTTATACGAACAGGCTTTAGGGTTTAGGGTTTAGGGTTTAGGGTTTAAAGGATGATAGTACCCCCTATTATCATCCCTACTAAGGACTGTTAGTATAAGGGGGAACATCCCAACCTAAAACGTCAAACCCTCGATCCTAAACCCTAAGCCCTAACCCTAAACCCGAAACCACAAGGCCGACACGAAACCTTAAACCTGAGGTTCAAACCCTAAACCCTAAACCCTAAACCCTAAATCCTAAACCCTAAACCCTAAACCCTAAACCCCAAACCCCAAACCCTAAACCCTAAACCCTCAACCTGAGGTTCTGGCTGGATGAATGGGTGAGCCTGGATGAGATGGAGAAGCAAGGAATTATTACGTGTTACTTTCCCTGTCCGAGTGCCCGGCAAATTCAAGAGATCCACAACGAAGTCTTGACCACGGACAAATGGTTCAATCCTCACTTCGCTGACGCGACCATCAAGATTCGACCCTATTTTGGTGAGACCCTAGCCTTCTATTTCAAGTTCGTGGCCCACCTTGCCCAATCCATGCTTGTTCCTGGCTTTGTGGGTGTGGTGTTCTTCGTTCTCAACAGAACGGATGTTGTCGACCAAGAAAACGTGGGCCAGGCTCGCCAGGCATGTTGCGTGCTCTTCTCAATTTGGGCTGCAACGCTCTTGCAGATATTCAGTCGCCACTCATCGCGAACCAAGCAGTTCTGGGGTGTGGAGGAGACCGAACGCTTCGCGCAGCCCAATCCGGATTGGGACCCCACGCGGACCGGTGAGACTGCAAGACTTTGCGTGAACCTTGCCACTGTGACATACATAGTGGTGCAGCTGGGCAGCACAGCTCCCAACGCTGAAGCGTTCTCACGGGTCGGTAGGCTTAAAGGACCTCCAGCTAGAAACTCCATCTGCCCAAGCCCCTTCACCCCCAACACTCGTTAGGCTTGGGGTTCAGGGTATCGAACCCTAAACCCTAAACCCTAAACCCTAAACCCTAAACCGAAAACCTTAAACCCTAAACCCTAAACCCTAAACCTTAAACCCTAAACCCTAAACCCTAAACCCTAAACCCGAAACGCTAGGGTTTATGGGCCCTGGACCCCCCCCCCCCCCCCACACCTGCTCAGGTACGTTGGTGCCATCACAGTCCTCCTGACCTGGCAGTACAACATTCCCCCCGACGCACCTGGCGCCAGCATGTTCTCCCTCCTGCTCACCATAGTCATCAAGGCCCCAGTTTCTGGGAGGTTCGGTACTTATGAACCAACTGCGACTTATAATCACCCAGTTTTAAGCCCCCTTAAGTGCCCCAATATGGTTATAGTTTGGGTGAGAAGTACAGTTATAATCGGTTAATACGCACCATGAACCTTCAAGTACAGGGCTGCTGCGGGTGGAGGGTTCCCGCGTTTCGGGCTTTTGGGTTTTGGTCCCTTCTCGTGGATTCCTGCTTGGTCTCCGAGTGCCTCAGTGTGCGTGTTCCCAGTCAGCCGACACCCCGATGCCAAACTCTCACGCGGCAGGGTGGCAACTTCTTGTGGTCCAAGATTGCGCCGGCGCTTGTCGAGTTCGAGAACCACAGAACTGAGGTGGACATGGAGGCGCCCGCTCGGCTTCGGTGGGGGTTGCTTGATGGTCGTGGTGGTGGTGAATGTCACAGTTGCTCTGTAAAAAAGGGCTTACACCCTTCTTTTCTTGTCACAGCTATCTTTGGTACTCTTGTTCGTATAGGAGTACTCGAAGGCGTACGCGGTTCGGTATTTGTGCCTGTTCTCACTCGCCAGACCTTACTTTGGGAAGTAGGTATCCTATGTATTGCCTTAAAGAGATTACGACGTGAAGTTGACTTGTTTCTCTGGCGCCCTCAGAATGAGGAGGTTTTGTCAGTTCTTCGAATTTTCTATTTTCGAGGTGCCTAATTCCCATCCCGGTTCGTCGGCGTTGGTGCCTGTTGCCAGTGAGCGAACAGTAGGCTTCAGCAGGGTCTATGATGATTCTGTCTGGATCTGCAACACCACAGAAGGAACATTTCTTAAAGCCTACAAACCCTAAACCCTAAACCCTAAACCCTCAACCCTAAACCCTGGGGGGTTCCAGCATGAGTGAAGGAGAAGCTGTCAGCTTTACTTGCCGGCGTCAAGCTTTTTGTTGCCAACTTCCCCTTCCTCTCGCACGTCTTCCTGACGAACTCCTTGCAGGCGGGGGTGGCCCTAAACCCTAAACCCTAAACCCTAAACCCTAAACCCTAAACCCTAAACCCTAAACCCTAAACCCTAAACCCTAAACCCTAAACCCTAAACCCTAAACCCTAAACCCTAAACCCTAAACCCTAAACCCTCAACCCTACACCCCCCCCAACGCCAACAAAACCCTAGGCCGAATGCGCCAGCACCTTCGAAGAGGCCGCCTCGAAAACTTGGAAGGGCTTCAACATCGCCCTGCTAGATCAGGATACTCTTCATGTCGCTAGGCTGCACGTGGTCGGCCGAGGGGTTTAGGGTTTTGGGGTTTGGGGGTTTAGGGGTTAGGGGTTTATGGCTTTAAGGGTTTAAGGGTTTAAGGGTTTAAGGGTTTAAGGGTTTAGGGTTTCTCGTTTTAGGTTCACTAGCCCGCCGGGGCCGAGAAGCTTTGTTGTGGGGAGGGAGGCAGGATCGAAGTCCCCCCTCCCCCCCGCTTTCCCTTGTCACTTCGAACTTTTTTGGAAGGGGTTTAGGAGGTGTAGGGTTGGGGTTTAGGGTTTAGGCTTACTCTCGCCCTGTCAGATTGCGTGTTGTCTCGTGCCGGTGAGCCCTCGTCCCGCCACGGTTACCCGCAGTCTACCTCTGGACGTTGCACTCGGCTTAGTTGCTAGAATCACAAGGTTCCCAAAGGCATTCTGCAAACTCAGTTTGTTGGGGTTACTCGCTGTAATCCCAAGATTTTTTGTAATCTTTTGGGGGGGATTCTTTTCCAGCTGCAGTCTGAGGCCCCTTTTTCCTTTGGCTGTTTCCAAACACTTATGTAAAGAGCTCTCTCAGCTCGAAAAGTTTCAGGCCTTCAGGGCTTTGGGTCCTAGGTAGGATAAGGGGACCCTTAAAAGGGAACCCTTGCTAACCCTCTTCTGGCTCTGTTAAGCAGGGACCTTATTCAGAGTGTGATATCCCCAAGGGCCTCCCTAATCCTATCCCTTGGGGCTCCAGGAATCTTAAAGCCGGGAAGCTGGGGAGCTCCAACAACCTTGTTATTGCTTGAGGGCCCAAACAGATATCGTGATAGGTCGCCAAAGGGCCAAGCTGATTTCCTTTACTGGGTTTGTTCAGGTCATCCGCTAGAATCTCGAAAAAATCAGGCGGTCAATCCAGGCAGGAAAGCTTCAGGCCTTAACGCCCTAAAGGCTTTAGGCTTTATGGGCCACGGCTTCCGCCCACGAAGGCGGGAAAGCTTTAGGCCTTGGCTCTCAAGGTTTCAGGTTTAAGGGCCCCAGAAAAGCTGGACAGCCTAAGGCCTTAGGTTTTCAGGTCTGAAGGGCTTGGCTTCAGCCCAGGTTCTCCCCCCCCCCCCCCTTTGTTGTTTTGGGGGGTGGCTGTGCGGCCCTACTAAACCGGGTGCAACATTGTCGGCTTTAGGTTTGGGGCTATGCCCAGTGTCCATGGCTCAGGCTTAGGGTTGCTTAGGGTTGAACCAGCTGCCCTACCACTGCATGGTCCTTCATGGTCCCTTACAGTACCTTTTCGAACCTATGAGCCCTTGGGTTGTCGTGGGGCATAGCAGGACCCAGTTGCCGAGACAAAACACCTGGTCTCAGGTGTTGAAGATCCCAAAGCCCTCAAGCCCCCTTCGATGACAGAGGACCTGCACAAGATGAGCTTTCATCGAGGAAAGAAGAGGCGCCTCGGCTTGCGTCCTGGCGTCGTGTGCGCACGTGCACGAAGTGTCGGTGGGGGAGGTGGCTCAGAGCTTCAAGTTCTCAGGGCCCCCATGAGCTTACTTGCGATCTGATCTCCATCAAGTAAGAGCATCCACACCTGCGCAAGATTGTCCGCAAGCTCCCAAAGTTTTTCAGAAAGCACGGAACCCAAACAAGATGCAGTGGCATCCCCTTGCCCCTGGACCCTAAACCTTAACCCACAACCCTAAACCCTAAACCCTAAACCCTAAACCCTAAACCCTAAACCCTACCCTAAACCCTAAACCCTAAACCCCAAACCCTAAATTAAGAGCCTCCGGCTCAAGCCGCCGACCCCGCAGGAGAACAAGTTTAAGGTTTGGGGTTTGGTGATTTTGTTTGCGGTTGGGGGGGGGGGGGGGGGTGGGAGAGTTGGGGGTGGGGGGGGGGGGTGGGGGGGGGTAGGGGGGGGTAGAGGGGGGGGGGGGGGTGGGGGGGGGTGAGGGGGTGGGGGGGGGGGGGGGGGGGGGGGGGGGTTGGGGGTTTTCTTATGCCGTGTGCGAAAACGCCTATGGTCCATGAGTTTACGCGGTGTGGGTGGCCTGTTCTCCACGGAAACGCTGGCGGGGTACCCCCCCCCCCTACCCCCCCCGCCCCCCGCGTTTTGGGGGGGTAAGGAGGGAAAGAGGTCACCTCGTTTTCCCATCCAACACGCCGCCAGGGTCTGCGGACCCTAAACCCTAAACCCTAAACCCTAAACCCTAAACCCTAAACCCTAAACCCTAAACCTTCATGGATTGGGCTTGGGCCGAGGATCTGCATCCCGGGATGTGTGCCTACCGATTACACCACCGCGAGGATCTACAGCGAGACCAACTGCCGCAGACTCGGAGGGCTTGTGGCACGTGAGTCTTTTTTAGGGTTGGGGATTTAGAATTTAGGGTTTAGGGTTTAGGGTTTAGGGCTTCATCTTCGCGTTTGGGGGTTCAGTTCTTGGCGTAAGAATTCGTGTTGAAGGTTTCTTAGGGGTCAAGGTTGAGTCAACCGGAAACCCTGTCATGAACCCAAATAGGGGGGGGGGTTTCCGAAATTAAGGGTACCTTTTTGGGGTCCTTATTGTCAGGGAATCCTACTATTTGGGAGGTTTTTTTGGGTTCCCCTACTTTCGTACACCTCCATGTTGAGGCTCCGGATCATAGCAGGCAACAACACGGGAACGCCCAGAACCAAACAGTTAGTTTTGAGAACTGGCCATGTGTCGTTTGCATCCACTTCCACTTCTGTGAGCGCCAAGGTGATGCCGATGTGAAAGATAATCTGACGACTTACTTTGTCTTTGCGATTGTCATCGAAGTTGCCCTCCTCATCCTTCCTATCATCCTCTCATACTGGGAGATTCGCAAGGACCGAGGTAAGAAAGACCACCCTATGCAAACCCTAAACCCTAAACCCTAAACCCTAATCCCTAAACCCTAAACCCGAAACCCTAAACCCTAAACTCTAGACCCTTCTCAGGAGTTCAAGAAGTTGCAGGCAAAAGACTCAGATTCCGAGCAGGCAGACGAGGAGAAAACATACAGCTTCCTCCAGTGGGAGGCGAAGAAGTTTCCCTACGAGTTTGGCTCCTGGGGCGGCGATAAGGCGGGTTCGGATTCAAGAACGAATCCGTCGACTCTCAGTCCTTCAGCCCCAAACCCTGAACCCTAAACCCTCAACCCTAAACCCCGAACCCTGAACCCTAAACCCTCAACCCTAAACCCCGAACCCTGAACCCTCAACCCGAAACCCTAGACATTCAACCCTTTAAATCTTTGACCTGCCAGGTGAATGATTTCTTGGACATGGCGATCAACTACTCCATTGTGGCCTGTTGGGGTGTGTTGTACCCTCCAATGGCCACCATCGCGGCTGTGGCTTTGTTACTTGAAGCATCACTCGCAAAGTCGTTCTGCGTTCGGATCTCACCCTAAACCCCTAAACCCTAAACCCTTGCCTAGTACCCTTAGTAGCAGGCCCCTCGCACCCCCGCCTCATGGGCTAGTGCAGAGTACGCGCCTTATCTGCTGCGCTACACCAGTCCCCTTCACTGCTTCCATTCTTGCCTAGACATGATAACCTGCGATGTTCCCCCGTATACTAACAGTCCTTAATCGGGATTACAATCGGGGAGAACTAGAATAGGGGGACTGTTAGGTGTAAGGGGGAACATCCCACATGATAGGCCATAACCCTATATAGCCCTATATAGCCCTATATCACCCTGTATAACCCTAAACCCTAAACCCTAAACCCTAAACCCTAACCCCTAAACCCTAAACCCTAAACCCTAAACCCTAAACCCTAAACCCGAAACCCTAAACCCTAAACCTTGCAGGTTTGTCCTCCTTCGACTCCGGGTCTACAGGATGCTCTACGTCACCCGAAGACCCCTACCCAGGGCCAGCGCTGGCCTGGGAATTTGGAGGACCCTCTTGCGTTGTGTTGTGAGGGTTTAGGGTTTAGGGTTGAGGGTTGAGGGTTGAGGGTTGAGGGTTGAGGGCGAAATGGCACGTGCCGGGTCTCGAATGTCGCATAAGGGGTCTCGAATGTCGCTTTCTTATTGTGCGTCCAGGTTTCCATTGCTCCGTCGCCATGTGGGATCGGTCGCATCTTGCGTCAGGCTATCCCTATTCGTCTATGTATGCCAGCGCTGTTGCGAGACAGTGCGAGTGTGGAAGCTCAGACCTGCAGCACGAAGCGGCAAGTGATGGCAAAATGTGCGACACCTCGAGATTGATTGCGCCCCCATTTTCCCGACGAGAGCCTTGGGCTTATCCAACCTCTCTTGCTTGAATTCGGTTCACAGATTCCTTGAGCTTGAGTTCGAAACCTCGTGGCCGCCTGCGATGGGAGGACACGACCACCTACGATGGGAGTGGGGTCCGTCTTTCACAGTCGGAAGTTAGTCTGATACTTCGTTGCTTGCTAAGATCGGTACGCTTCGCTCAAACGTCGTGCACCTTGGCCAGTGCATTCGGAAACGTGTGGAAACGGAGTGCGCTTGTATCGAGCATGTCGACTTGCCTCCGAGACAGCGTTCGTTGCAAGCCTTCCAAAAACAGGGGTCTCCCGATCCTAATCTCTGGACACTTCATGATGAATCATGTCTTGCCAGTGTAGTGTCAGTCCGGACCCCTACATCCTGGGACCCCAGACCCTGGGAGCCCTAAACCCGAAACCCTAAACCCTAAACCCTAAACCCCACACCCTAACTCGATGTCCAGGACCATCTTTCAGTGCATCAATATTGCAGCGGTCGCTTGCAACGTGGGCATGGCGACCATGTTCTTCTACCCCATGCGAAACAAGCCTCCTCGGCCTTGGTTGGGGGGACTTAGCGCGGTTGCGGGATTTGGGGTTTAAAGCCCGTAAACCCTAAACCCTAAACCCCAAACCCCAAACCCTAGACCCTAAACCCTAAACCCTAAACCCCCCGCCCAAAACCGTATGCCGCCAGGGCATTTGGCTTGCAGCTGATGCTTTTCTTGCTCTTTGAGCACGCGATCCTCATGCTTCAGGCCACCGTCAAGTTCGTTATCTCCGACTCTCCCGCAGATGTCACCGAAATCAAGTACTACAACGAGTACGTGAAGAAGACTCTAAAGAAGTCACGCATCGCCCCTCTGACCCCATCTTGGTTGGATCATGTCGATGTTTCCCTCAATCCGGACCAAGTTGAGAGTGAAGAGGATAGCGACTCCTCCTGAGCAGAGCTTTCGCAGAAATGCGCCCAATGCTGCAAACGGAGCATTGGTTCGGCGAAACATGCTGGACGCGCAAGGTGTATATCGTTTCATCTCGACTAGATTAAGCGCGCCAAGAGGTGCGATGCTTTCAGGCAAGGGATGCTGATGTCCCCCGCGATAATGTTCCAGTGTACACTAGCAAATGCAGCCAATGCACGAAATGACGTTGAAAGATCGAGAGAGAGAGAGAGAGAGAGAGAGCCCCAGAGAGAGAGAGAGAGAGAGTCGCTTTGAGAAGCAATGGCTCGACTTGGTGTCGCAGACTCGTGCAGTTCTTCCACATGTGTGACATCAGGCCTTGGGAGCCCCACAGGATTTAGGGCTTAGCCGCCCCAGAAGCATGTTCGTGTGCGCAGGGTTTGCTTTGTTCCTGTCTTCTACGTGCCCTGCAGCCATTGATAGCATCAGATGAGAAGATTTGAGCTTGTCATTCCTTGTGTTGGGGGTAGGTTGTTGGAGCAACATGTTTTTGTGTCGCAACATTGTAGCGCTTCGTTGACGGATGGGCAACAGCTTTCGAAGTCTTTGGTCGCAGGCTCGGCCTTGCGCACGCTGCGTGCCGTGCGCCTTCTCCTCCTGGGGTCGAGCGCTGCCTCTGGTCGGCCGACTTCCGCGTGGGACATTGCTCAGTCCATCAGGCACTCCTCTGCCACAAGTGGTGCATCGCAGGCTGTCTCGACAGGAGGTGTGTCCTCCCGGTGGGAGGCTCCTGTTTGTGGGCGACGTGCATGGCTGTGTTGATGAGCTCCGCGCCATGCTGGCGCAGGTAGGATATGACAAGCACCGCGACACCCTTGTTCTCGTGGGTGACCTTGTCAACAAAGGTCCAGGCAGTGGAGAGGTGCTGCAACTGGCTCAAGAGTGCAAGGCTTTGTGCGTGCGCGGGAACCATGATGACGAGCTGCTGAAGGCATACTATCGCGTGGGCCGCTATGCAGAAGGTTTGGAGAAGTACAAGCACGATGCGCTGTACCAGGTGACTCCCCAGGACATTCACTGGCTGCAAGAGCAACCTCTCTCCATCACTTTCCCATGGATTGATGTGCTTGTGGTGCATGCTGGACTGATTCCCGATGTGCCTTTAGAAGATCAGGACTTCATGGACTTGACAGAAGGCCGCAACTTGCGGCGCACGCACGGAGCTAGCCAGGCTAGCCAGTGGTCGATGCTGCAGGAGCAGTCGGAAGGCAGTGTCGCGTGGGCCACGGAGTGGAAGGGTCCCATGCATGTGGTCTTTGGCCATGACGCGCGCCGGAGGGTGCAGGAGCATCCCTATGCCACGGGTCTCGACAGTGCATGCTGCTACGGAGACCGGCTGACAGCCCTGGTTGCTGACGTGGACAACTTCTCCAATCGGCGGCTCTTTTCAGTGGCAGCATACCATGCATACGCGCCTAAGTCGGATGAGAAAGAGGCCTCCGAAGTTGGTGCCATTTTGGGGGTCTACGATGCAAAGGGGGCCCTGATATAGACTCCCAAATAATCAGTAGGATCCGATTAGAATAAGGACTCCAAGGGGGTACCCCTCATATCGTAAACCCCCCACATTCTCAGCAGGTTGGCAGAATCAGGGACCCGCAGCGAGTCGCTGCGTCGCTGTGCATGCATTGCACGGTGACCTCGTCAGAAACCCTGCTCTTTGAAGCCAGGCAGCCATTCGTTTTTTCATTCGTGCTTGTAGCGTTTTCAGTAGAACAGCTTCAACATGACGTCTCGCATGACATCTCGCCATGCTGCGCAGTCTTGCTTCATGGTGAACAACGTGCAGGGCACTCGTGCGTTTGAGAGGGCCGATACGTCTGCTCCGCCGCTTTGTGGCTCCTGCTTTGGTGTAGCCTGCGCTGCATGGCCGGCGGCAGGCGTGTGCTTGAAGGGCTTTGTGGGGGGGTTCAGAGTTGGGGGCCCCCTTGGGGACAATGGCGGGTGGGTGTTGCGCGCCCTGCGCGCACGCTGTGCCAGCCCAACCAAAGCTAGCTTGGCCGGAACCCCCACATATCTCTACCTTAAACGCTAAACCCTAAACCCTAAACCCTAAACCCTAAACCCTAAACCCTAAACCACGAAAACACCTGTTCGTGGTCCCGTGCACGCGCGCTCTGGACTCTTGGGTATTCCATCATCAGCGAAGCAGGAGTGGACCGAAGAACCGCAGATCTTGCTTCCTTAGGGTTTAGGGTTTAGGGCTAGGGTTTAGGGTTTAGGGTTTAGGGTTTAGGGTTTAGGGTTTAGGGTTTAGGGTTTCGGGCTGTTTGTGAACTTGCAATAGCAGCAAGGCACTGTCTCCTAAGCCCTAATTATACGTTCCTTGAGGGCCATGCCCTGAACCTTTACCACAGCAAGCGCTGCTCAACTCACCATATCGAATTCTCTCGTTAGACGTCTATATCACTGTAGAGTCTCACAGCTCTTTGATTAAAGCTTGAACCAACTATAATATAGTTGTCTAACTGTATAACATATAGTTATACAGTTATACAGCTATATAATCTAGTTGTATAACTGTATAACTATATGTTTGAGACCAAAGACCCCCCCCCCGCCCCCGGTTTGTGCTGAAGCTTGAACCTGAAATCTGGCAGGGCCATGGCAATGAAGTCCTTTGTGCTGGGAGGCGGTGGACATGTCCTTGCACGAAGCTTGCGGCTGTGTTCAGAGTCGAGGGTTTGGGGTTTTGGCCGCCCGAGCCGAAGAAATCCCCAAATATGTCCCAAGCTCTACGCCCTGAAGCCCTAAACTACGCCAAGCTAGACCTTCGCCACGGCCGGGGTTGATCTGAATTGACGGGTCCTTTTCGTGCCCTCAACTAGCAGATGGGAGCATGCGAACCCCACATCCGAAGGACTGCGGTCGGCATATACCCAAGAAGGACGCCCTAAACCCTAAACCCTAAACCCTAAACCCTAAACCCTAAACCCTAAACCCTAAACCCTAAACCCTAAACCCTAAACCCTAAACCCTAAACCCTAAACCCTAAACCCTAAACCCTAAACCCTACTAAAACCTAAACCCTAAACCCTAAACCCTAAACCCTAAACCCTAAACCCTAAACCCTAAACCCTAAACCCTAAACCTTAAACCCTAAACCCTAAACCCCAAAATTTCGTTCCACCCACAGCTGCTTCCTTGGCACTCCAAATCTTCGAATCCTTAGGCCGGTCCCGACTTGGTGGTGTGTGGAAAGATTGAGGGTACCCATGACCGCGAAGAGTCCTGCCCGAGGTCGTCATAGACCAAGCCTGCCAGGTGTTCCCTTGAGAGTACCCGAATAAAAGGGGTAAGATGCCCTTTTGGGCAGGTTTGGGAGACCCTAAACCCTAAACCCTAAACCCTCAACCCTAAACCCTAAACCGTAAACCCTAAACCGTAAACCCTAAACCATAAACCCTAAACCCTAAACCCCCCACATGCGGAGGGGCTACGTGCAGACTCCTGCTCTGCGCCCTCTCCGCGCACCTGGCCGGAGGCCCTCTCGGGACTAATGACTACTCTACTTGGGTACTTATAGCCACTAAAAACATATATGTATAACTTATAACCTGCTTAGGGGACTTAGGGGCTTATAAGTACAGTTATAGTTGGGGTTCTAAGTGCCCTGAACATCCAAGTAATGATGGTATTAGTATTGCTTGCTTGCTCTTCGTCATATCGAAGCCCGAAACCCTAGACTCTCTACATCTATCTATGCTTGCTATTTTTAAACATAATTGTGCCTATGACGAAAAAAAGGATTTGGGGCGCAAAAGTAGCCTGAGCCAGGTCGGGTCGTAGGTCGGGATGACAATACAGCGGGTATCCCTTGTGGTCGCTCTTAGAGGGGGGTGGGGTTGTGGCCTAAACCCAAAAACCCAAAAACCCAAAAGCCCTAAACTCCAAACCCTAAACCCTAAACCCTAAACCCTAAACCCTAAACCCTAAACCCTAAACCCTAAACCCTAAACCCTAAACCCTAAACCCTAAACCCTAAACCATAAACCCTAAACCCTAAACCCTAAACCCTAAACCCTAAACCCTAAACCCTAAGCCGAAGGGCTTGGCCCTCCATTCTCACCTCTTGTCGCACGCAGCACGCCGCAAGCACCTCCAACACTCTCCATTTTGGAGGGCCCCCAAACCTAGGCCTCCAACCCTGAAGCCCTAAACGCTTGGGTTAGGGTTTAGGGTCTTTGGGGCTTAGGTTTAGGATTTAGGTTTGGGGTTTAGGGTTAAGGGTTCACGGTTCAGGGTTTCGGGTTTAGGGTTTAGGCAAGAATCCAATGCCAGGTGTGACCCACGCCATTCGCGGGGGGAGGCATGCTGGGAACGCGGCGTCCCGCACCTCAGGTATGCGCTTTCTCACGCCTGGTATGGGTTGTTAGGGGCTTAGGGTTTCTCAGCTTGGGTGCGGCGTTCGGGTTTGCTAGTCAGGCTAATTCCCCAAAGCCTAAACCCTAAACCCTTAACCCTTAACCCTTAATGCTAAACTTTATGGAGCCGGTTGACCCCTATAACACCGAAAAGGCAGCCTTTCGGTTCAGAGTCAACAGAGTTGGGGTTCAGGGTTTAGGGTTTAGGGTTGCTGATTTGACCATTGTTCCAAACCGCCTCATGAGAGTGAGTCGTGCCTATACTGCTGTTGTCCTGGTGCTAGTGCTTTTGCTGACAGATGCTGTTACATGTCACGAGACTTCAACCCTGACCCGCGCTGGCCTGAGTCTAAGCAGCTCGTCGGGTTCTGTTGTGCTCTGGGATAGGGCCTAGGTTCAAGATTTATTTTTATGGCTTAGTCCTTTGAGGGTGTTCAACACCTTGCCGCTTTTTGCTTGACTGCAAAGCATTGCTGGAGGGGTAGGGGAAGATCCCTCTGTGTCAGCCGCCGTGCCTGGCCTGGGTGCGGGGCTGAGGGGGGTTTGGGGTGTTCAGGGGGGGGGGGGGGTGTTCTAGTTGGTTGTTGGGTTTAGCCCCGAATCCTTTAAACCCTAAAC